GTTTAATTGAGCTGCATTTTAAAGAGGTGCAATTTCACAATTTGTGTATATTTTCTAAGTTCACTATTTTGTCATGTGTTGAGAAAAACACAGATTTTAAAATTACATGGTCTAATATTTACATTTAACATATAACTGCAACATGCTTTTTTCATTTTTTTTTAAAGACTCGAAAGGACTTGAAATTCAAAGTTTCAGACTTGTGACTTGACTCGGACTTTTACACCAGTGACTTGAGACTCGACTCTGACTTGCCTGACATTACTTGAGACTTGACTTGAGACTTGAGGATAAAGACTTGAGACTTACTTGAGACTTGACTTGAGACTTGAGGATAAAGACTTGAGACTTACTTGAGACTTGCAAAACAATGACTTGGTCCCACCTCTGCTACACTATATCGTCACTGTGTTTGGATATGGTTATTGTTTAATTCATTTCACTTTAATTCAAGAATTACAGAACAGCATTACTGTGGTATGAAAAAACAACATATGACGTTTTTTTTCTGAGTTTAGTCGTAAATCTTGAGATATAATGCGCTGCTGCATGACAAAAGATTTGGTAACGTAACACCAACGATAACTCCTTGTGCATTTATTTCAGCTACAGAATCAAAAGTTTCTTTTATGTTTGTGTCTACAACCCACCCTGCCCTCCTTGCAATAGGCCAGCAGCTTGTCTTCTTCCTTGGGGTGGAAGATGAGCGTGTCAGGTGTGAAGTCGATGGACTGCCGCTGGAAGGAGGAACCTTCATCTGTGCTGATAAACAGCATTTGATCTCGTTCATTTATAGAGGAACCCACCAGAATTACCTGTAAGAGATGATAGAGAGAACAGCGAAGAAGAAAAGAAAGAAAAAGAAGAAAAAAGAAGGTCACAGGTGATACGGTCCAAAGCATCCTGCAACATATTTGGTGCTAAGTCAGCAGTCTGTTGAAAATATCCTCCTCATATCAGTACTTGTCCATGTTAATTCACCTGCATGCACTGAAAACCTGATAAATATGAATGCATTCACTGCCATGCATGCACATTCATTCAAGGCCATCCTCTGGAACAGAAAAACTTTCCATCAACCTTACAGGCGGCTTAAACCATGGCAACACTCTATTGATTATCTATTCAGACTTTTATAGCTCATAAAGTGAAAACATTAAATACAGGGGACACCAGGAACTGCCAACCCACCAATCACAATTATGTCCCAGACACTTACAATAAGTGTCTCAATAGGGGAAATCGATAGGAACTAATGAACCAGTCATGTTCATTAACAGTGCGTGAGAGGTGGGAAGCTATCCCATGAGGGTTTTTGGTTGTTTACAGCAACTCCTTATAAAAAGTGTCCTCAGTCAGAGAAATGCAATAAAGTAACTAGCTGTATTGTTACTTAACAAATGTTTCAGCAAAGATTAATGGATGCAAACTAGAGATATAATTTTAATGAAAGGGATATTCAACATGTAATGGCTATTTAAAAAAATAAGTATTATGTGTGGGCAGAAACAATTGAGCAAACAAATAAATCAACTCATAGGAAATTGTCAAGGTACTTCCAATGCTTTTAATTCTTATTTTAAGACTGCATGCTTTTGTCCACGTACAAAGAAAGAAAAAAATCCCTTTTTAATGCCTATATTCCTCCTTCACTTCCAAAATAACCTTAATATTCAACCTTGCCGAAATCAATTTGTATTCAATGGTATATTTAATAGTGTTTTCAAAGGTTACAGTAGCTCCTTCTAGAGGGAGTTCAGTACTTTAGTATTAGAAAGGAAAAGCTTCATATTTGTATGCTTATACTTGGGTAAATTTATTACACAAACCTGGACGCAATATGCCTCTTACACAGTATGTTTGGCTCATCAAAGCAGGGAAAGCACAGTTTTAATAATGTTCACTTCAGTGTCCCAGTACGCCAAGAAACTTATGGGTTATCTGCCTGATCTGGATTTCTTTCAGGGCCTTGTGTTACAGAAGATACTTTTAGTAATTTTTGAATAACCAGTCCATCGATCTCTTTGGTCAAAAATCAGTCACACCTGCTGGAGAGCATCCACACACTTGATGCTTTGACAACTAGACCTAAACTCAGAAATCGAATGGTTCCTTTAAATCGCCAGAAAACAAAAAACAGCAGGAAGGATGGGTTTTTTTCAGCAGGAAGCCAAAAACCCCCCAAAAAGATCAAATCAAATAAAAAAGTATACTGTACAAGTTTAAAGCTCTTTAGGGCAGTGATTACACAAAATCTTGAGAGAGTACTTGAGAGATTTCTGTCTCCCTATCAAAGCAGGTAGGGAATAACCTGGAAATTTCAGGTTACATATTTGCTTCTAGAAGAGCATTGCTCATGTTCACAGAAATCTACTCCAGTAGTATTTCCTCTTTGTCCTTGCTGTCGATCTTTTCTTTTATTATCCTTTAATCCAACCTCTGTTTTGTTTTTATCTAAAGAAACACAAAGCTGGTGTAAAACCAGTGGCTATGTCCATCTTTTATACTGTCCGTTTCTAGAAAAAGAAAAAAATCATTACTACTTTTATAGCTAAACTAACACTGTGCTATTTTATTTTTTGTCCATATTTAATGTGTTCAGTGATTTGTATTATGTATGCCTATTTTCTGAACACATTTCTGGCAAATCTTCACCTGTCATTTCGTTTTATAGTCATCAGAACAGCTTCAATATCACAAAAGCCCTTACCCTAAACCTATAACTTCTTGATGCATGCTCAACTTTTCTCCCACAAAAACGCTAGGTCCGGATGAACAGAATCAACTTTTGGAGACTAAACCTATAACCATAACCTAATTGTAAACCTGACGCTAAAACTTGAGGGGACTGAGATTTTGGTCCCCTTCAGGGCTGTTGGTCCTCAGAAAAATGTCTAAACAGGTACACACGCACACACACACAACCGCTATTAGGATTCTCATCATGACTTCAATTAAGGAGTGTGTGTAGAATAACACATCTTTCTGGGTTGATACTTGAGAACTGTGTGTGAGTTGGGTGTAACTTCCGTTACCACCACAGTCAATTAAAAGCTTGGTGTTTGTTTTGCAGGCAGAGCATGGTCAACAAGGAAGAGGAGTAGAATGATGATGTTAGAACAGCAGGAAAGAAGACTTTATTTCTTATAATACAGTTAATTTATAAAATGTCAGCTGGGATTTGCTCAGTGTATTTGTTGTTTACAGCTAAAAAGCTCCACTGAAAAGCTCAAGTTCACCCTGTGGATGTAGGAAGTCAGCAAACAATTACTATCCTTAATTTCTACCAAAATGACCACTCCCAATCTCATATTTACATGTGTTTACAAAGTCTTTTGGCTTCTATGGTATAAAGCCTGATGACAGCTGTTTTGGCACACACTTTTGCCTCATGTCCCTGTGGGGCAGGTCCATCAATCGGTCAGCCCTCCTGTGCCAACATGTCATCCTTTAAAGGATATCACTCGGTTTAACCTAGTTAAGCTAAGACAAACACTGAACATCCTCAGGACACACACGTACACAGTCCCACCTCACATATACACATCATATCAACAAATGGAGACAAATGAGATGACAAATGCTTGAAAAAGAAGCATAAAGGTGCACCGGATCTTATGAATATGATTGTGTCAGTTGGTGAAGTTGCATAATCTCACCCAAAACAACCTGAAACTCGCTACTCAGAGGTACTGAGTACTATAAGCTTAGCAAAAAACAAAAAAAAGTTACAAATAAATAAACAATAAAAATCTGTACTACCACAAAGGTCATGCTCTTGATGTGTTTGCATTTGTAACTAGATTTCTGTAGTTTTAGCAACAGTGAAACACAGATCATCATGCAACGAAGCTAAACACAATTATACTTTTAGATAGTATTTTTAATTATTCGTTTTTTATGAAATGCTTTTCATTCAGTCTTTAAATTTGTTTGCTTGCTTTGTCACAATGTCCACTACTAAGCCTATGGAAGCTTTTGACTAACCTTGATGCCATCAGATTATTTTTTTTTTTGTCATCAGAGATTTAAATGAAAACACACTGTTTAACTGAAAGTATCTGTTTGCACAGGAGGTGTGGGCTGTTAGTAGTCAGGCTGAGGAGGGGAAATGCTGCTCAATTGCATCATGGGACTAGAAACAGAATGAGAGCGTTTTTGAAATCTAGTAGGAGACACACACAGCGCTTTGAGTGCTCAGACAGAGTAGAAAAGCGCTATATAAGAACAAGTCCATTTACCATTACCATTTACACACTGAGGACTCCAAGTTGAGATATTTCTAAGCTTAAAGTGTATTACTAAATCACTTGAGAAATCTTTGCAGTTCCATTTGATTGTACTGGTCTTTTTGAGACCTTAGGTGAAAGGAGTTTAAAATTAAATTCAAAACCTTAGCCAAAAAAATAAACCTTTTCTATTCTATGCACTATTGTGAGTTGTGCATTTTATGTGGTACTTAAACGTCTTGTAACCCCTCCATATTCATGCATTGTTCCCTTATTGGGTTTCAACCTGGGAAACTCAAAATGGGACAAAATTGCTAAAATGAATCTTAAAATTGTTTTATCTTTTATTATTCACCACAGAAACCACAGAAAATAATGTAGGAGTTTGTAAAAGATGAGTGTGCCACTGATGCACTCATCCTCATGGCGCAGTAACCTGACTTACCAACAAGTGGCAGTCTTGTCAAACTGTAGGCTCGGAGGAATGCCTTCAAATCTTTACAGAGTTGAAACTGAGCTTGACTAACCAACTGACAGATAAGAAGGTGAACTTTTCAGTGAGGCTTCAAAAAAATGGGATCGGGGGAGGGCAGACAGACAATTCCTTTCGCACAAGTTATGATCCTCCACAATCAAAGGACTTTGATACATTCTTCCTTCATAACGATTTCCTCCGAGTAATAGCTCAAGCTTAGCAAAGCACAGTGCTCCTATTGTGCATGGCAGATAAAAGCAGACTCTAAACTTCCTGTGTCTGCTGTGGAGACTTCTGGGGTGTGACACATTAAGGGGACTTATAGGAACAAAACTCAGCTCTTTTTAATCTGCAAAACGGCTTAAACACCAGTGTGGCTTTGGGAAGAGCTTGCATAATCTATGCGATGTTTGATAATCTTTCGATCACAGTTGCTCAGATTATAGAGCTGATACTCTCTGATGTGTGTCAACAATGATCAGTTCCCGCTGTCAATTATAAAGCAGCACAATCTTCTTGGCAGCTTAAAACAGCTTATAAAACAGTGCTGGTGTGCAGTTGGAACATGAACAACATGAAGGTCTATGCCCAGAGAAGAATGAGAATGTGCATTTGTTTTGCATGACACATCTTTGAACAGCTGAAGGGTTTTATGGCTGCAGGCTGATATGGCTGATGAAAACCTCAAGTCTTGAGAATGGAGAAAGCTTTTGCACGATACAAGCACACCGGCACAAATGCACACCTATGCAAATGAATTGTGTACTTACTGTACATGTGCACAGAAAAATGAGAGAAGTCGATGAAGGATACCGTTTGAATTGTTATTTTGCAAATATTATTCTATATTTATTGTTTTTTTCTTGTTTCTTCCACAGGTTAGGTACACAGTTGTGAAAGTAATAAATCAATGAAGGACTCCACGCCATGTTCAAGGTAATTATCTCAAAAATAGCTTTCAGTAGCCTTGTTATCCTTATATTTAGCCTGCTATCTATATTTCACAATACATTTTTGTTTCTCGTAACTTTGTTATGAACTCGTAGGAAAGATTCAATGGCCTGCCATGTAGCCATGTTTTGGAAAACTGTAAGTGAACCTTCCCAGATTT